CATTCCTCCATGCAGATCTCCTCTAGAGCAGTGATGTTTTGGGGCTGTCGCTGGGCAACACGGACCTTCAACTCCCTCCAAAGATTTTCTATGGGGTTGAGATCTGGAGACTGGCTAGGCCACTCCAGGACCTTGAAATGCTTCTTACGAAGCCACTCCTTCGTTGCCCGGGCGGTGTGTTTGGGATCATTGTCATGCTGAAAGACCCAGCCACGTTTCACCTTCAATGCCCTTGCTGATGGAAGGAGGTTTTCACTCAAAATCTCACGATACATGGCCCCATTCATTCTTTCCTTTACACGGATCAGTCGTCCTGGTCCCTTTGCAGAAAAACAGCCCCAAAGCATGATGTTTCCACCCCCATGCTTCACAGTAGGTATGGTGTTCTTTGGATGCAACTCAGCATTCTTTGTCCTCCAAACACGACGAGTTGAGTTTTTACCAAAAAGTTATATTTTGGTTTCATCTGACCATATGACATTCTCCCAATCCTCTTCTGGATCATCCAAATGCACTCTAGCAAACTTCAGACGGGCCTGGACATGTACTGGCTTAAGCAGGGGGACACGTCTGGCACTGCAGGATTTGAGTCCCTGGCGGCGTAGTGTGTTACTGATGGTAGGCTTTGTTACTTTGGTCCCAGCTCTCTGCAGGTCATTCACTAGGTCCCCCCGTGTGGTTCTGGGATTTTTGCTCACCGTTCTTGTGATCATTTTGACCCCACGGGGTGAGATCTTGCGTGGAGCCCCAGATCGAGGGAGATTATCAGTGGTCTTGTATGTCTTCCATTTCCTAATAATTGCTCCCACAGTTGATTTCTTCAAACCAAGCTGCTTACCTATTGCAGATTCAGTCTTCCCAGCCTGGTGCAGGTCTACAATTTTGTTTCTGGTGTCCTTTGACAGCTCTTTGGTCTTGGCCATAGTGGAGTTTGGAGTGTGACTGTTTGAGGTTGTGGACAGGTGTCTTTTATACTGATAACAAGTTCAAACAGGTGCCATTAATACAGGTAACGAGTGGAGGACAGAGGAGCCTCTTAAAGAAGAAGTTACAGGTCTGTGAGAGCCAGAAATCTTGCTTGTTTGTAGGTGACCAAATACTTATTTTCCACCATAATTTGCAAATAAATTCATAAAAAATCCTATAATGTGATTATCTGGATTTTTTTTCTCTCAATTTGTCTGTCATAGTTGACGTGTACCTATGATGAATATTACAGGCCTCTCTCATCTTTTTAAGTGGGAGAACTTGCACAATTGGTGGCTGACTAAATACTTTTTTTCCCCCACTGTATGTGAGAATGCTGTTCATTGACTACAGCTCAGCGTTCAACACCATAGTGCCCACAAAGCTCATCACTAAGCTAAGGACCCTGGGACTAAACACCTCCCTCTGCAACTGGGTCCTGGACTTCCTGACGGGCCACCCCCAGGTGGTAAGGGTAGGCAACAACACGTCTGCCACGCTGTTCCTCAACACTGGGGCCCCTCAGGGGTGCGTGCTTAGTCCCCTCCTGTACTCCCTGTTCACCCACGACCACGTGGCCAAACACAACTCCAACATCATTATTACGTTTACTGACGACACAACAGTGGTAGGCCTGATCTCCGACAATGATGAGACAGCCTATAGGGAGGAGGTCAGAGACCTGGCAGTGTGGTGCCAGGACAACAACCTCTCTCTCAATGTGAACAAGACAACGGAGCTGATCGTGGACTACAGGAAAAGGCGGGCTGAACAGGCCCCCATTAACATCGACGGGTCTGTAGTGGAGTGGGTCGAGAGTTTCAAGTTCCTTGGTGTCCACATCACCAACAAACTATCATGGTCCAAACACACCAAGACAGTTGTGAAGAGGGCACGACAACACATTTTCCCCCTCAGGAGACTGAAAAGATTTGGCATGGGTCCCCAGATCCTCAAAAAGTTATACAGCTGCACCATCGAGAGCATCCTGACCGGTTGCATCACCGCCTGGTATGGCAACTGCTCGGCATCTGCCCGTAAGGCACTACAGAGGGTAGTGCGTACGGCCCAGTACATCACTGGGGCCAAGCTTCCTACCATCCAGAACCTACAGTTGAAGTCGGAAGTTTACATACACTTAAGTTGGAGTCATTAAAACTCGTTTTTCAACCACTCGCTTGACTGTGCCTTTCAACAGCTTGGAAAATTCCAGAAAATGATGTCATGGCTTTAGAAGCTTCTGATAGGCTAATCAACATAATTTGAGTCAATTGGAGGTGTACCTGTGGATGTATTTCAAGGCCTACCTTCAAACTCAGTGCCTCTTTGCTTGACATCCTGGGAAAATCCAAAGAAATCAGCCAAGACCTCAGAAAAAACATTGTAGACCTCCACAAGTATGGTTCATTCTTGGGAGCAATTTCCAAATGCCTGAAGGTACCACGTTCATCTGTACAAATAATAGTACGCAAGTATAAACAACATGGGACCACGCAGCCGTCATACGGCTCAGGAAGGAGACGCGTTCTGTCTCCTAGAGATGAACGTACTTTGGTGCAAAAAGTGTAAATCAATCCCAGAACAACAGCAAAGGACCTTGTGAAGATGCTGGAGGAAACAGGTACAAAAGTATCTATATTCACAGTACAACGAGGCCTATATCAACATAACCTGAAAGGCCGCTCAGCAAGGAAGAAGCCACTGCTCCAAAACCGCCATAAAAAAGCCTGACTATGGTTTGCAACTGCACATGGGGACAAAGATCTTACTTTTTGGAGAAATGTCCTCTGGTCTGATGAAACAAAAATAGAACTGTTTGGCCATAATGACCATTGTTATGTTTGGAGGAAAAGGGGGGTTGCTTGCAAGCCGAAGAACACCATCCCAACCGTGAAGCACGGGGGTGGCAGCATCGTGCTGTGGGGGTGCTTTGCTGCAGGAGGGACTGGTGCACTTCACAAAATAGATGGCATCATGAGGAAGGAAAATTATGTGGATATATTGAAGCAACATCTCAAGACATCAGTCAGGAAGTTAAAGCTTGGTCGCAAATGGGTCTTCCAAATGGACAATGACCCCAAGCATACTTCCAAAGTTGTGGCAAAATGGCTTAAGGACAACAAAGTCCCTGACCTCAATCCTGTAGAACATTTGTGGGCAGAACTGAAAAGGCGTGTGCGAGCAAGGAAGCCTACAAACCTGACTCAGTTACACAAACTCTGTGAGGAGGAATGGGCCAAAATTCACCCAACTTATTTTGGGAAGCTTATGGAAGGCTACCCGAAACGTTTGACCCAAGTTAAACAATTTAAAGGCAATGCTACCAAATACTAATTGAGTGTATGTAAACTTCTGACCCACTCGGAATGTGATGAAAGAAATAAAAGCTGAAATAAATCATTCTCTCTACTATTATTCTGACATTTCACATTCTTAAAATAAAGTGGTGATCCTAACTGAACTAAAACAGGGATTTTTTACTAGGATTAAATGTCAGGAATTGTGAAAAACTGAGTTTAAATGTATTTGGCTAAGGTGTATGTCAACTTCTGACTTCAACTGTATATACTAGGCGGTGTCAGAGGAAAGCCCAAAAAATTGTGAAAGACTCCAGTTACCCAAGTCATAGACTGTTCTCTCTGCTACCGCACGGCAAGCGGTACCGGAGCGCCAAGTCTAGGACCAAAAGGCTTCTTAACATCTTCTACCCCCAAGCCATAAGACTGCTGAACAATTAATCAAATGGCCACCCGGACTATTTACATTGACCCCCCCCTGCTGCCACCTGCTGTCTATTATCTATGCATAGTCACTTTACAAATGACCTCGACTAACCTGTACCCCAGCACATTGACTCGGTACCAGTACCCCCTGTATATAGCCTCGTTATTGTTATTTTATTGTGTTACTTTTTATTATTTTTTACTTTAGTTTATTTGGTAAATATTTTCTTAACTCTTTCTTTAAGCATTTCACGATAAGGTCTGTATTCGGTGCTGTATTCGGCGCATGTGACAAATAAAGTTTGATCTGATTTGGATAATACATTATAAGGGCTCCTACATGTTCATAACAAGTAATAAAGCATTCGTTTATCAAACCTGTTGGTTTGAAGTAGGCCTCATCTAATAATGTCAGTAGGCCAATTTTGAGTCGAATTGTTCGTTAGCCAGGTTGTCAGATTATTCCAGGGTAATCTCTGAACCAGGGTCATCTCTCTCTCTCTCTCTCTCTCTCTCTCTCTCTCTCTCAATGACGTCAAGTATCAGCTGACTGGTTTGTTTTGCTGTAGAATCCGCAGCAGATAGCAAGGAAGGAATCGAACGACATCAAAGGAGTAAAATAACTTGTTATTCTTACAAAAAAATTGTCTTGGATCGCCCAACAGTTTAAATCGCCTTCGGCTGAAATATATTTACAGGCATCTTTTGCCTCATTTACGAAACAGTTTGACCTGCGTGAAATATGCCTTCAGAGAAGACATTCAAACAAAGGAGGACATTTGGTATGTATTGACACAGCAAGTTTTAACATTGGAAACTGATGTTATAGATTATATCGTTATTTCGATTAGTAACTGTTCACATTTAGTGGATCCTTATTTCGTAATGTCAGCCTTTATGTGGAAAACAGATGGTTTCCCAATTCCCCCTAGTGTCTGAATAGTTCATCAGTTCAACTTCGACCAGACGCCAAACAGTATAGGTACAAATTTGGAAGATAATTAATTTGATATAGAATATAGGCCTACACTTGGCTTTTCAAAACTACAAATTCGTGATAATTAAGGGTGGTGGCTGTATCTAGGCTAATAAAAAAGGTTATATCCTCAACAGTGGGTCATGTTATGCAATCCGAATAGACTGAGCAAATATTGGTGTTGGTAGGCTTTAGCCTACAGTGTCTGTCTCTGCAAAATGTAAACCCATGACAGCGAAACGATAATCGGATACTGTTGTGCTCAGTTTGTTTGTGAATGGGATGTTTAAAAAAGAAAAAAAAGTAGGCTACATAGGCCTATTACTCTACACGAAATGCAGGGAAGTACGCTGCAGGATTGGGGGATGGGACGGATTGCGGAGGTGAAAAGAGGGCCTACGGGGAAAGGGCCAAAAACAAATGTCTGTAGGATAACTTTAACATTGTATCATGTAGACCTAGATAACAAACCAAATATGGATTGTCGTGTTAATTTCGCTTTCTGTCAATAGGCCTTTATGTTCAAAACAGTTTTGCGTCTGAGATAAAGTCCCTTGTTTACGGATGTGACTAGATGAGTACAGCTGACGAGACAACCTGGTCTCAGAGCATTTCGTATTATTCTGTACCTAAATCCGAGATTTACGTTGACATTTTAGTCATTTAGCAGACGCTCTTATCCAGAGCGACCTACAGTAGTGAGTGCATACATTTTCATTTAGTTTGAAATGTTACGTTTTGTATGGTATGTATTAATGTGTGTATGTCCATCACCCATTTTGTATGATATGTTACGAATTACAATTTGTATTATATGTTACGAATTTGCAAAATGTACAATATGTTACGAATTTGCAAAATGTACTATATATATTAATCAGCAAAACGTATGATATGTTACGAATTCTAGCTAGGTGGCTAATGTTAGCTAGCTGGCTAACGTTAGCTAGTTTAGGGTTAAGGACCCGATATGCATAAATAAAAAATGTAAATATAGAGACCCGCTCCGAACGGACCCAAGGAAAACTAGACCCATTCCGTATAGACTTGTTCAGATCCCTCCTCTCGCGCTGATAATGCGTGAGAGAAGGGAGAGAGGTGCCGCTCTAGCAGGCGGGGGAGGGGCCGTACTGTGAGCGAGTGAAACAGGGAGGGAGAGACAACATCCAATCAAGCCTACTCGCGCTATAGTAGACTAACAGCTGCCGTAGCTAGGTTATTTATCAAATATGATTAAGAAGTACCTGTCTTGACTGCATCAAACAGGGAGAAGCTAGTTAAGCTAGCTAACGTTATCTAGTTAGGCTGCAGTGTATGCGCTTTCTCATTCTACAGTTACATATAACAACTCCTCCATTCAGAATATTACCTAAATAGCAGCCTTACCAAACATAACATATCATACTAATTTGTGTGTCCCAGATTTACATTTACTATGTCTAGTCTGAGAACAGGCTGGGCGAGAAGTGCACAATATCTGTTTTAGCTGTACTGTCAGCCATAATTTCATGTTTGTGTACATTTGAATAATGAATTCTCTAGGTTTGATATTGAAGAAAATGAACAATGCGTCAACATTGCAATGTTGCGCAACCACAATATTTTGCCTTACAATATTAATCGGACTAAAATGGATCACATAATAGCTATATTAACCATCATATTCTCATCTCATTTTAATGGGAACGTAATGGGAGCTTTTTAACCACTAACCTGTCGACAAAAGCAGGCATGATTCTAATGTCATATATAATTTTCAAACATTCAGTCACTTGTTTTGCTAACATTTTTAAGCAATATGAATTAGAGGAGACAATGGCCTGTTATTAAATGTTTTTTTATTTTATTCCAGGTCATCAGTTTACATTGTGTTACTTTCGTCCCACCCGTCTCTCCTGTAACTTTTTCCAGGCTAACACCAAGACTAGCTAGCATTATACTTGAAGCCTATACTGTCATTTAGTCACTAGATGGGTTAAGAAAATGACATACAGTACCAGTCAAAGGTTTGGACACACCTACTCATTACAGGGTTTTTCTTTATTTTTAATATTTTCTACATTGTAGAATAATAAGGAAGACATCAAAACTATGAAGGAACACATATGGAATCATGTAGTAACCAAAAAAGTGTTAAACAAATCAAAACAATATTTTATATTTGAGATTCTTCAAAGTAGCCACCCTTTGCCTTGATGACAGCTTTGCACACTCTTGGCATTCTCTCAACCAGCTTCATGAGGTAGTCACCTGGAATGCATTTCAATTAGCAGGTGTGCCTTGTTAAAAGTTAATTTGTGGAATTTATTTCCTTCTTAATGCGTTTGAGCCAATCAGTTGTGTTGTGACAAGGTAGGGGTGGTATACAGAAGAAAGCCCTATTTGGTAAAAGACCAAGTCCATATTATGGCAAGAACAGCTCAAATAAGCAAAAAGAAACAACAGTCCATCATTTACTTTAAGACATGAAGGTCAGTCAATCTGGAAAATTTCAAGAACTTTTAAAGTTTCTTCAAGTGTTAGTGACAGATTTCTTGATTTATCTTAGATTGATTCTGACTGTTTTGAGGAAGTTTTACTGTATGTTGTTGCTATGGCGTCTCAAGAGGGACAAGCAGTTATTTTGATGCTTTTTTTGTAGTTTTGCAAGCGATTGTCTTTTTAAGGGAGTATGCGAGGCACACACGTTCGCTTTGCCTAGCCGAGTTCTGCTAGGAGCAAACCGAACCTAGTATGCGGACGCCTTAAGGCATTTCAGACCAGTATTCATCCCCTTTGGCATTTTTCCTATTTTGTTGCATTACAACCTGTCATTTAAATGGATTTTTATTTGGATTTCATGTAATGGACATACACAAAATAGTCCAAATTGGTGAAGTGAAATAAAATAAAAAAACTTGTTTCAAAAAATTCTAAAAAATAAAAAACGGAAAAGTGGTGCGTGCATATGTATTCACCCCCTTTGCTATGAAGCCCCTAAATAAGATCTGGTGCAACCAATTACCTTCAGAAGTCACATAATTTGTTAAATAAAGTCCACCTGTGTGCAATCTAAGTGTCACATGATCTCAGTATATATACACCTGTTCTGAAAGGCCCCAGAGTCTGCAACACCACTAAGCAAGGAGCACCACCAAGCAAGTGGCACCATGAAGACCAAGGAGCTCTCCAAACAGGTCAGGGACAAAGTTGTGGAGAAGTACAGATCAGAGTTTGGCTATAAAAAATATCAGAAACTTTGAACATCACACGGAGCACCATTAAATCCATTATAAAACAATTGAAAGAATATGGCACCACAACAAACCTGCCAAGAGAGGGCCGCCCACCAAAACTCACGGACCAGGCAAGGAGGGCATTAATCAGAGAGGCAACAAAGAGACCAAAGATAACCCTGAAGGAGCTGCAAAGCTCCACAGTGGAGATTGGAGTATCTGTCCATAAGACCACTTTAAGCCGTACACTTCACAGAGCTGGGCTTTAAAGAAGAGTGGCCAGAAATAAATAAGCAAACACGTTTGGTGTTCACCAAAAAGCATGTGGGAGACTCCCCAAACATATGGAAGGTACTCTGGTCAGATGAGAGAGCTTTTTGGCTATCAAGGAAAACGCTATGTCTGGCGCAAACCCATCACCTCTCATCACCCCGAGAACACCATCCCCACAGTGAAGCATGGTGGTGGCAGCACCATGCTGAGGAGATGTTTTTAGCGGCAGGGACTGGGAAACTGGTCAGAATTGAAGGAATGATGGATGGCACTAAATACAGGGAAATTCTTGAGGGAAACCTGTTTCAGTCTTCCAGAGATTTGAGACTGGGACGGAGGTTCACCTTCCAGCAGGACAATGACTCTAAGCATACTGCTAAAGCAACACTCGAGTGGTTTAAGGGGAAACATTTACATGTTTTGGAATGGCCTAGTCAAAGCCCAGACCTCAATCCAATTGAGAATTGTGGTATGACTTAAATATTGCTGTTCACCAGCGGAACCCATCCAACTTGAAGGAGCTGGAGCAGTTTTGCCTTGAAGAATGGGCAAAAATCCCAGTGGCTAGATGCGCCAGGCTTATAGAGACATACCCCAAGATACTTGCAGCTGTAATTGCTGCAAAAGGTGGCTCTACAAAGTATTCACTTTGGGGGGTGAATAGTTATGCACGCTCAAGTTTTCTGTTTCTTTGTCTTATTTCTTGTTTGTTTCACAATCAAAAATATTTTCAAAGTGGTAGGCATGTTGTGTAAATCAAATGATACAAACCCCCAAAAAATCCATTTTAATTCCAGGTTGTAAGGCAACAAAATAGGAAAAATGCCAAAGTTTACAAATTTGCACAATATCAGCACGTGAGAATGAGAGCACTGACTAACGTGTTGTGTCCCCAACCCAGCACATATTAAACAATCTTACCAGTTACAATGTTGCTGTAAAATGAAGCCTAACTAGTTTACACTGCAGTACCTTAGTTACCACAGGGGATGTAGTTATTACATTGGTTATTATTATTATTATTATTATTATTATTATTATTATTATTATTATTAGCATACTTTTTTATTATTGTAGTTATACATATGGTAAATCTATGGATTGAGGGGTGAAATCTAAGACGATAAACTACCGTCACATCCACTGTAATGGGTAGAGTTGACCAGCTATTTCAAAATATGTGGCTATGAAATCATAAGTATGCTAGACCTAAAATGAGAACCTAGCCTACTTGGACACTTCTTCGTGACACTAATCAATTTCAACCCTTTCAATGACTCCAAAATCCTTGAGACCAGAACACTAAGCACATTATTGGACAATTTGTTTGTGAACTTGTTTTTATGGCACTGCATTGTCCTGTAGCCTACTCTTTTATATATATATTTTTTTCTTGGTTATTTGAAATAAATGTTTTAGGCCTACTTATTTTTGCCCCATTTATTTTTATTTTGCTAAGCTTTTTTGTTGATGTTTTATAGTGAATAGTTGGTGTTAATGGTGTAAAAACTAGATAAATCAAAAATACATTATTTAAAACAAAAATACATAGACACTGAGTGTACAAAACATTAGGAACTCCTGCTCTTTCCATGACATAGACTGACCAGATGAAAGCTATTATCCCTTATTGATGTCACTTTTTAAAACCTCTTAATGTGCATGGTTCTGGTTCTGGTTCCGACCGACATTTTCGCTTATAAATCTATCTGTGGACACGGTTTCATTTGCTCTTACGACTGTCCATCAACTCCTGGCTGAACCCTGCCTCACAGCCACTGACAAAGCACATGCCTGTAATCGTTACATTGTAGCGCAGCAGTAGAGTGGTTTTGTCACGGTAGCACATTTCTGAGATCGATTTATAGCCATTAATCTATAATAATTCATAGATTTTAAACAAACAAAAAAACGTTATGTTTGACCTAGACCAACAAGATTAATATGAGATGAAAGGCGAGTTCTTAACGAGTTCAGGAAGCCAAGCAATAACTCTGAGACGTTCACAGCGATAGGGGCAGACGTTTTGATCAAGGGAGACCTTCTGAAAATATGCACATTTTCTCTAACACTAAACAAACAAATGTATTTAACAGTTGAAATGACTTATATGCTTTCTAAATATAGCATAATCAAATTATAAAATGACTAACTATAAGATTTCACCTTCCTTATAAGCCATATTCATACAGTTTTGTTGAATAGGAAAAGCATAATAAAATATTTAATATTTTTTAATTATATTTGTACTGTGTACTTGAGCTTGTGTCCTCAAAAGTGACAACATCAACTATCTTTGCCAGAAAGGTGAGATTTTAACCTTTCTTTGACTATGCAGCATTACTAGTTATTGTTTATGGCCCTCTCATGATAAACAATAACTTTTGGGGATTACGTAGATTACATTTTCGATTACATTTAGTTACATTTGACTGGTTAAATCCACTTCAATCAGTGTAGATGAAGGGGAGGAGACGGGTTAAATACATATTTTTAAGCCTTGAGAGACAATTGAGACATGGATTGTGTATGTGTGCCATTCAGAGGGTGAATGGGCAAGACAAAAGATTTCTGTGGTAGAGCATGGCGTTTGCAACGCCAGGGTTGTGGGTTCGATTCCCACAGGGGGCCAGTATGATTTTATTTCATTTTAATATATGTATGCACTCACTAACTGTGCTAAATGACTAAAATGTAAATATAGTATAGACTGTTTTTAGCCTTCAGCCTTTATAAAATCATATGAACAAATTTATATACAATATTAGACTATAAAATACTATTGGTCTGAGATAACTATTGGTTTGAGCTGTCTCTTTAAGTCAAAGTGAACTATTAGTCATGTGAACACCTGTCTCTCTCATGTATTTCTGGATAGAATTGCCTAAATATGAACATTTTTGTGGAGCAATTGAGATCAAGACTTTCCTCCTTCCAGGCACTTGTGTTGTTGGCCTTGTGTTGTTCTGTCCATCTGTCAAAACTGACCCAGGGTTTGTGTGTAGACAAAGGGGCCCAAGGCCTTATCTGGTGCCATGGAAACCGTTGTTTTTGTCTTGTTGCAAACGGCCACCAAGTTGCAAAGTTCAGCAGGGCGGGATTAGTTTAGAAAATATAATGTTCACTTGCTGTTTCGTTTATGGTCTGAGTTGATTCAGCACCTGGTTTGCTGCACTGATTGTATTGTCTATAACCATAGGGGGTTTGAGATAATAGGCGACATATATTTTTCCTTTGAGTTACCTGTGTGAGAGGGTGAAAGGCAGATGGGATATAGAACAGATACAATCTGCTAGTTGTTTTGTCATCTCACCTGTTCTCTCCTCCTTGTGTCCACAGAGCAGAGAGTAGACGATGTGAGACTGATCCGAGAGCAGCACCCCAACAAGATCCCGGTTAGTATCACATCCATTACCACCACAACCATGCAAAGATCTAATATACATTGGGTTAGAGAGTATTCCCAAATACAGACCCATCCATGCTTTCCTCAACACAGAGGTTATCCTTCCTAGCAGATATTTTCATGAAGAATAGGTAGAAGGGTATGGAACCGTCTCGGTGTTAGCCATGTGTCAGGACCCAAACAGACCACATATCAGATTGAATATCACTTTAACCTTCCATCTGCTGCCTCTCTAATCCAGACACACACACTGAAACACTGACTGACTGAAAGGGCCTCAGTTACAGTACATGACCACTTCCTGATCCTTTCCTTTGTCTGTCCAGGGGTCCAACAAATCTGAGTAATTCCCCCTCTGACTGACACTAGCTTTGTCTTGGTAATGTCCCCTCCCCCTCTGACTGACACTAGCTATGTCTTGGTAATGTCCCCTCCCCCTCTGACTGACACTAGCTGTGTCTTGATAATGTCCCCTCCCCCTCTGACTGACACTAGCTATGTCTTGGTAATGTCCCCTCCCCCTCTGACTGACACTAGCTATGTCTTGGTAATGTCCCCTCCCCCTCTGACTGACACTAGCTATGTCTTGGTAATGTCCCCTCCCCCTCTGACTGACACTAGCTGTGTCTTGATAATGTCCCCTCCCCCTCTGACTGACACTAGCTGTGTCTTGATAATGTCCCCTCCCCCTCTGACTGACACTAGCTGTGTCTTGGTAATGTCTCCTCCCCCTCTGACTGACACTAGCTGTGTCTTGGTAATGTCCCCTCCCCCTCTGACTGACACTAGCTGTGTCTTGGTAATGTCCCCTCCCCCTCTGACTGACACTAGCTGTGTCTTGGTAATGTCCCCTCCCCCTCAGACTGACACTAGCTGTGTCTTGGTCATAGAAATATAATAAATAGAATTGGCGTCCCCATTCAAGTCAATGATGGCATAATGGGTGGACTGGCGGCCATTGCGAGGAGCAAAGCTGGAAATAAAAGCAGGAAGTGTACCCATCAATATGTGCTTTGATTTGTTGACTCCACTGACATCACAAAAAATACATTCCATTGTTTGAGCCACATCAGTAACATCATTTTAATGAACATTCTACATTACATTTTAGTCATTTAGCAGACGCTCTTATCCAGAGACATTTCCTCTGCTTCCTTTCAGGTCATCATCGAGAGATACAAGGGAGAGAAGCAGCTGCCCATCCTGGATAAAACCAAGTTCCTGGTTCCTGACCATGTCAACATGAGCGAATTGATCAAAATCATCAGGTACTCTTTCATGATGTTACATTATCCTTTATTACCTTCTCATCAATTTATCAGTCACTCACTACAGCAAATGTACTTCTACCAATGTGTCGATCTGATGTGCTGAACTCTTTGTCCATGTGTCTTTGTCCCACAAGGAGGCGCCTCCAGCTGAACTCCAACCAGGCCTTCTTCCTGCTGGTGAACGGCCACAGCATGGTCTCCGTGTCGGCAGCCATCGCTGAGGTGTACGAGCGCGAGAAGGATGACGATGGCTTCCTCTACATGGTGTACGCCTCACAGGAGACCTTCGGAACCGTGGCCCCCCAGTAACAGCCTCCCACCACCACGCCAGCACTCGGACATTGATACTATCTACCCCCCCCCCCCCCCCCCCCCCCGATCCTTCGTTCCTAAATACAGACCTATCCCCCTGCCTTCCCTCCAACCCAACCCATGCTTGCTTTACAACCTTAGCCAAGACAATAGGAACCAGCCAACCTCTTCTCCCATGCGCTAAAGGGCCCCTTATAGATATTAAAAGCCCTATCCTGCACCTTCTCATACTCTGCCCCATACCCATACATTCAGTCATGTGTTTAGGAAAAGGGATGAAATCGTTATGTTTGGGTTTGCTGTATAGGATGGATTAGAATAGCAGAAATGATTACCAGTTCAGTTTGAGTTCGCTCGCACTAGACTCAAACATTTTACATGTTAAATCCCTGCTCGAGTCCATCACGGTTGAGTTCAGATACAGCAAACCCCATCTTTTCTTTTCCACTGGTTGGGTTTGCTAAACTTCAATGAACTCTGTCTTTTGGATGAAGCTTCAATCACAACAGCTACTGAGGAATTTTGTAACAGTTTAGTTGAATCCAGTTTGACTGACATGGGAAATATTACTGCCACAACAACTTGTTTCATCATGTGGTAAAGTCTCCAGGATGGGTAACTCAGGCCAATAGTCTTAACCGCTGTGACAAAATTACTGTTTCTATTTCCTCTTTAGTCTTTGGCCAATTCTAGGCAAACTATAGTTAAGGCTAACATGTTAATGTGTGTTCAGTTTAGCATTCACCTCCCCGTGTGTCTTGATAAGGGTTATGGGTTCAGAGATAATTTTACTTTTCTCCTTACTGAAAATTAAGGTCCTTTTTCAAATTTGTTTTTATTTCCCTGCTTTTGTAGTAAATGTCTCCACATAGAAGAGATGTGAGGGACTCCTAGTTAAAAAGAAAAAAATGCTATGCTACCGAAAACCTGCTATGATGATTGTAATAAGATATTTGCCTCTGTGTGTACAGATATTGAACAAATGAAAGGAGTAATCAACTGACCTTGAACACTATGACAGGATAGGACATGATGATGGAATTGCACATGTGTGAAAGGGTCACTGATGTGGGATCATGCTGATGCCAGAAGTAGGGTGTGGGGTTGGTGGCCAGTTAGGACTGGGCGGGCATCATAGGTGGGCATCATGGGCTGGATCTGTCCACCAACCAACCCTCCATCTCTCCCCCTCCTAGACCTAGACCTGCCCTAGGGCTCTGGACAGAGCTCATCCCTGGGTGGCATCACTTTTAGAATATTAAATTTGTTTAATAGAGAGTTATTTACGCCTTTATAATGTGTGCTGACTGTTGTTCTCTTCCCTCTCGCTGTCCTTTTCCCTCTCGCTGTCCTCTCAACTGTTTAAAGGTTAGATGCCTTTTTATGTCAGCATTTTTGGCAGTTAATCTTTCTTTTGTTTTCATTCAATGTGATTTTACTTCGTTGTACAAATGTCCATATGCTATACTTGTGCATAATGAATAAGAATAATTCTATGATCAGTTTGATTGAGGGTTTAATAAGAGGAATGGTACAGTTATCAACCCAATGTTCCTCTGCATTCTCCTATGTTTGCCACTCTGTCTTCATATTTACAGCAGTATTACACAACCGTTTCTTGTATTTATGTTGGTATTTTATGAATAAAACAAACAAAAAACAATGTAAAGGTTTCTGTGGTGTGTTCCCCATCTAGAATGCCTATTCTGGTATTAGTTAGATTAGACACTGTGTTGCCGATGAAATCAGAAAACATTTCAATGTTTTTTTACAATGTTTTTCATGCAGTTTATAAAACAAGAAAATCTTAAAACACACTACACATACAATAAAACAAATCTGCCATAAAGAATTATGCAGGATTTGCCCTTCAAGTTAAAATCTTGCTTCAAAATAATACCAAATGTTTTAAAACACCTTTTAAATGCACAAAATGTTTACTTGAAATCAAACAACATGCAGAACTATTGACTAAGAAGATGGCTACGTTACAGTCAAATAATACCAGCTTATTAGATGTCATTGTATGTTTGACAAGAATCTCATTGGAACTCTTTCATTTTAATGATATAAAGACATGATTATAAATCAAATTGGTTTACACAAAATGTTTGCATCATCAACCAGGGTGTATTAACTAGGCACAATGTTACAGAACAGTGTAAAAACAAATCAACCACCAGAGAGAGAATCATGTTTGCTCTGCAGCCGTGGTGTCTGGCGTACTATTACAGTGCCTACTGTATGCTCTATTGCTCCCATGAGACCTACACCAGAAACAGCATGGATGTGGTCAAAACATTTTTGACAACATTCCCTGACATGCAATACTGTACAGATAGTCAAGATACAATCCTGGATTGTGTCCTACAATTCCTTGATCTTCAGTCCTCAGAACAGATATCACATCCACCTGAATGGAACTCTGTAAATCTGTTTCCTGTTGCAACCAAATGGATCCTGATTTTGTCAAAGTCTTGACTATCTATTGGAAGCAATCGGTGCAAGTGTTTATTGGTACATATGATCATTATCAAAGAAATGTCCCTTATGACTGAATTATGTCCTCCATACCTGGCTAGGGACACTCCAGTGCAAAACAACAAACCTATAATAACTTGTCCATCCTTGAGGACCACTGTCCTCATGTCACACTCACATCCAATGACCTGGGACCAGCCAGTCTCATAAAAGTGCTTTCATATGCCACACCATTGTGGCAACTTAAGGACACATTCACTGACACATTCATTATCAAATCTTTCTCAAAAAGGATCCTCTTACATCTCACCACCACATATTTTGGGCAGTGAATATAACAATTAGACTGCTCCAACTTCTAAACTTCTAAATGATTAAACAAGTTTGGAATAATTTCCAGGCAGTTCGGCACAAAACAATATCAATGGCACATCTTAAAATCTAAGCTAGTAATGCTGGCACCATGTTTTTCTTTTCATCATTAATACCTGCACTGTATAGGGCTAAGTACCCACAGTGAATGATTTGTAGAATAAAGCACTTATTTGTTTCACTTCCTCTTCCTCTGTTCTGTCTGGCAACACTAAGGGAAATTACAGATGTACTTCCTTGTTTACTTCCTGGTTTCCTCACAGACATGCATTGTTCCAGAGGAGGAGGATTTGGCAGACAGTCAGTCAATGTGCATTATTTGGCAGTCATCTTGTCTTTACATTCACACTTCATCATCCTCTCAGATATACATCCAACTGTCTTCTCCAGAGAAACTTAAAAGGCCATCTTGTCTAAAACAGTACATTAGTTGTTTTGAAAGGGTTGGGTCTGGCTACAGAACTGAGGGACACTGAGGTGTGACCTGAGTAGTGTGAGGAGTATTGGGTCATATTTTCAACATCTTTCCTTTGACCAAAATCCTCTGTTATAGATAGACTGGGACTAATAGCACCCTCCAAATTGACTCTGTAATTTCACTTTCTTCATGGTCTCAACCAAGAATCTAAGTTGAGTTGAGTGGCCACCATTCACCAGCCCATCATAAAAATTTTGACTGGTGTTGTATGCACTCACTAACTGTAAGTCGCTCTGGATAAGAGCGTCTGCTAAATGACTAAAATGTCAAATGTGTTCAAAGAGTAATGTAAATGAAAGGAGCTCCTTCAATCTTTTTTATTTTATTTTATTTTACCTTTATTTAACTAGGCAAGTCAGTTAAAAACAAATTATTATTTACAATGACGGCCTACACCGGCCAAACCCGGACGACGCTGGGCCAATTGTGCGTCGCCCTATGGGACTCCCAATCACGCCCGGTTGTGATTCAGCCTGGAATCGAACCAGGGGGTCTGTAGTGATGCCTCAAGCACTGAGATGCAGTGCCTTAGACATAAGGTGCTGATGTGTGCAGGGGTAAGATCACAGGAGTTGTTCCTAGTCCCCTGAGTCCTGGCTGTCTGATTTAGGAGCATACTTCAGCCGAAATGTGCCTGAAAAAAAAAAGAGGTTTCTGTAGATATAAAAGATATAAACTACCGTTCAAAAGTTTGGGGTCACTTAGAAATGTCCTTGTTTTCGAAAGAAAAGCAATTTTTTTGTCCTTTAAATTAACATCAAATTGATCAGAAATACAGTGTAGACATTGTTAATGTTGTAAATGGCTATTGTAGCTGGAAACGGCTGATTTTTTATGGAATATCTACATAGGCGTACAGAGGCCCATTATCAGCAACCATCAGTCCTGTGTTCCAATGGCATGTTGTGTTTGCTAATCCAAGTTGATCATTAGAAAACCTTTTTGCAATTATGTTAGCACAGCTGAAAACTGTTGTACTGATTAAAGAAGCAATAAAACTGGCCTTCTTGAGACAAGTTGAGTATCTGGAGCATCAGCAATTGTGGGTTTGATTACAGGCTCAAAATGGCCAGAAACAAATAACTTTCTTCTGAAACTCATCAGTCTATTCTTGTTCTGAGAAATGAAGGCTATTCCATGCGAGAAATTGCCAAGAAACAGAAGATCTCGTACAACGCTGTGTCCTACTCCATTCACAGAACAGCGCAAACTGGCTCTAACCAGAATAGAAAGAGGAGTGGGAGGCCCCGGTGCACAACTGAGCAAGAGGACAAATACATTAGAGTGTCTAGTTTGAGAAACAGATGCCTCACAGGTCCTCAACTGGCAGCTTCATTAAATAGTACCCGCAAAACACCAGTCTCAACGTCAACAGTGAAGAGGCGACTCCGGGATGCTGACCTTCTTGGCAGAGTTGCTAGACACTCTAATGTATTTGTCCTCTTGCTCAGTTGTGCACCGGGGCCTCCCACTCCTCTTTCTATTCTGGTTAGAGCCAGTTTCCATAAAAAATCAGCCGTTTCCAGCTACAATAGCCATTTACAACATGAGCAATGTCTACACTGTATTTCTGATCAATTTGATGTTATTTTAATGGACAAAAAAATTGCTTTTCTTTCGAAAACAAGGACATTTCTAAGTGACCCCAAACTTTTGAACGGTAGTGTACGTATTTTCAATCATGGAATTACAATATCTCTTGGAGTAGCTGTAAGGTTTCTACTTTATACCTTGCTGAGCAGCGTCCATGGGTGGCTGCTTGCATTCCTGTGCCCGATGGCCGGTGACCCCACAGTTGTAGCAGGACAGGCTCCCTGGCTTCTTGTGCCCTCCGTTCCCCACCAACCCATGAGGCTGGTACACGTTGGCCCCGGCCCCCAGAAAGCCCTGCATGGGGGGCAGAACCAGCCCCTGCTGCCCCTGGGTGTCGTGGCTGTGAGACATGCTGCTGTTGTAGAGGGGCGGTGCCACCAGGGGGAAGGGGAATGCAGTACTGCTCCCAGCCAGCAGGGGACTGAGGTGAAGCAGGGGCCCCAGGGTGAACACTGACGTCCCTGAGAAGGGGTGCTGGAAGTACCCTGCGTAGCTGGTTGGGAGGGCCCCGTAGGAGCCACAGTTCCCACTGCAGCCACAGGAGCTGCACACGCACACAGAGGGGCTTGGGGTGGAGCCAGAGGCGACGGCGTAGCCGCTGTTCTCTGTGGAAGTGGGACTGGAGCTTGGCAGGACAGCAGCGCTACTGTTGACACAATAGGTGTTGCCTGGCACCGCTGCCATGGGAACGCTGCTCACGGTTCCCATGGGAATGCCACTCACAGACGGGAAGGCTGACTTGGAGGAGGGAGATAATGAGGAAGAGGAGGCGGAGGAAGAGGGGTAAGGGTAGTGTCCAGCACGGGGTAAGGAGGGGGACACCTGTAGGTGTGAGACATGGTGCAGGGTGTTGGAGGTGGTGGTGAGGGTGGTGCTGGTCTCTACCATCAGGCCTGGAAGGGAGCGCAGCATGGTGACCCCAGAGGGCCCCCGGGGCCCAGCAGAATCCTGGTGGAGGGGAGGGAACCCCACACTGTCCACGCTCAGGCCAGGGAACAGGCTTTCCAGCCGCACCCCAACAGCCACGCCTGAACCCAGGGGTTTCACCCGCTCGTCAGGGCAGAGGGGAGGGGGCCGGGGCTTACGGGGGGTACCCAGGATGCGTCTTGGTGACAGTAGGGGCAAGGAGAGTGGAGGAAGGCCCATGTGGGAGGGGCAGGGAGTAGGATCATTCTGCACAGGAAGAACCTGAGCAGTGGGCCGACTTGGACCTGTTGTAACCGTGGGGTTCAGGAGAACACATGTCCTGTCCTTCTCTCCGAGGTCTAGTCCTGACTCCATACCTGGATGGGAGACAGAACAAACTGTTATCAGAGATAAACTGTTATCAGTGATATACCCTGCTTTTAAATTAGCATGACTGCTGAGAGAGAAAGGGGACTCACGTCTGCGTGGCTCCTTGGCCCTGTCGACGGCCCCTTCCCGGGACAGAGACAGAGACAGAGGGGTAATGGGGCTGGAGGGGGAGCTGGAATAACCTGAGGAGGAGCTGCTGTCCCGGGGTGGAGGGTGCATGCCTGTCTCTACCTCCACACGCTGCTCTGAACACAGAAACACATGTACGCTAAATTAAGCTGAAGGTGTACAGCAGGGATCATCAACTAGATTCATTTCTTCTTGAGCAGATGGTCAGGGGACTGGAACATAATTACAAATAATTTGTAGACTGCAAATTGACTGCAAGAAGCCCAAGCAGATATAATATTTGACTAAACCATAATAATTTCAAAACTTGCTTATATTTCTGTACGATCACTTTTTCTGCATTTTGTTCCATTATAGCCTTATTCTAAAATTGATTAAATAAAACATGTTCCTCATCAACCTACACACAATACCCCATAATGACAAAGCAAAAACAGGTTTTTAGAAATGTTTGCAAATTTACTAAAAATAAAAAACAAAAATACCTTATTTACATAAGTATTCAAACCCTTTGCTATGAGACTCGAAATTGAGCTCAGGTGCATCCTGTTTCTATTGATCATCCTTGAGATGTTTCTACAACATGATTAGTGTCCGCCTGTGGTAAATTCAACTGATTGGACATGATTTGGAAAGGCACACACCTGTCTATATAAGGTCCCACAGTTGACAGTGCATGTCAGAGCAAAAACCAAGCCATGAGGTTGAAGGAATTGTCAGTAGAGCCCCGAAACAGGATTGTGTCGAGACTCACAACTGGGGAAGGGTACCAAAACATTTATGCAGTGTTGAAGGTCCCCAAGAACACAGTGGCCTCCATCATTCTTAAATGGAAGAAGTTTGGAACCACCAAGACTCTTCCTAGAGGTGGCCGCCCGGCCAAACTGAGCAAGCGGGGGAGAAGGGCCTTGGTCAGGGAGGTGACCAAGAACCCGATAGTCACTCTGACAGAGCTGCAGAGTTCCTCTGTGGAGATGGGAGAACTTTCCAGAAGGACAACCATCTCTGCAGCACTCCACCAATCAGGCCTTTAGGGTAGAGTGGCCAGAAAGAAGCCACTCCTCAGTAAAAGGCACATGACAGCCCGCTTGGAGTTTGCCAAAAGGCACCAAAAGGACTCTCAGACAATGAGAAACAAGATTGATGGAACCAAGATGGAACACTTTAGCCTGAAGGCCAAGCGTCATGTCTGGAGGAAGCCTGGCACCATCCCTATGGTGAAGCGTGGTGGTGGCAGCATCATGCTGTGGGGATATTTTTCAGTGTCAGGGACTGGGAGACTAGTCAGGCTCGAGGGAAAGATGAACGAAGCAAAGTACAGAGAGATTCTTGATGAAAACCTGCTCCAGAGCGCTTAGGACCTCAGACTGGGGCGAAGGTTCACCTTCCAACAGGACAACAACCCTAAGCATACAGCCAAGACAACGCAAGCGTGGCTCGGGACACGTCACTGAATGTCCTTGAGTGGCCCAGCCAGAGCCCGATCGAATATCTCTGGAGAGACCTGAAAATAGCTGTGCAGCGACGATCCCCATCCAACCTGACAGAGCTTGAAAGGATCTGCAGAGAAGAATGGGAGAAACTCCCCAAATACAGGTGTGCCAAGCTTCTAGCATCATACCCAAGAAAACTCAAGGCTGTAATCGCTGCCAAAGGTGCTTCAACAAAGTACTGAGTAAAGGGTCTGAATACTTATGTAAACGTGATATTTGCAAACATTTCTAAAAACCTGTTTTTGCTTTGTCATTATGGGGTATTGTGTGTCGATTGATGAGGGGGAAAAAACTATGTAATCCATTTTAGAATAAGGCTGTAAGGTAACAAAATGTGGAAAAAGTGAAGGGGTCTGAATACTTTCCGAATGCACTGTATATATCTCTATTATGCGTGGGAATACTTTGGAACAGATTTCCCAATAATAATAAAATATTTAAGAGTTTTTCTTTCTTCTTTTTACTTGGGGGTGGGGAAAATAAAATCAGTTGGGGAACCCTGGCGTACAGGTTACCTGCAGTATCACGTTCTATAGATAACGTTGAGAAGGTGTACTTTGAAGGATTACCTTTCTAATAAACCTAAATGTAAGTCTTTGTGTACAGTTGATATGTTTATGGAGTACAGTACAGAACAGATGTATCAAGTGTCTAGTTTACTTGTATTGAAAGTATATAATGCAAGAGGAGTTACATACGAACCACATCAGCCACGTTGCATGCGCAAGCGTTGCAAAATACATTTACACATTTCACCCACACCGCTCGGGAGCGTGAATGAGCATCTGCGTAGTCAAGCACTAAAATAGAACTTTGTTCTATTAGAGACGTGACACACGCTGCAAGTCCCCTTCTTATTGGATATCAGGAAGATACAAACCCACATGAATGCTTGAAAGACAAATGAGGAGAGATTCATTAAAGATAACTTTTTATCTGTGGATTTATCATGGAAGTAAAGAAACACACAATTTCGTATGACTCCGGGTCAAAATTCTACAAAGAACCATCTAAAAAAAGGGCCACATGCATGTCAGGTAAAATAACCCAATGTTCATCTCCCAGGACAAATGTCCATGAATGTTTCATGTGTGTTTCGACCTGCCCCGAAATTAATATAATTGATTCAAAGTTGATTTTGGCATTTTAACCTGCGTATCATGATCGCGTCTGGTGGGGATAGACAAAATCAACATGGGCACGATGCCAGTGTAGTCAGCATGTTAGAGGAGTTACCTGTGTTGTTATTGGAGTGGACTTGTGTCACTGGGCCAATGTGGCTGGATGGAGTAACCCTGGCAATGCCACTACAGGGCACAGGGAACTGGGACACCATATACCTCTTCTCCATCTTCTCCCTACTGACAACACAAACACACACAGTCAGTCATCACACAGATACACAACAGCATTACTGAGGGGAATATCATCACAGCCAATCAAAATTATTATTATGTACACAAGCAGGCGCCAGACAGCTACTGTATAAGGTGATGAAATAAGCTGGAGAAATCTTTGAGATGGTCTTTCACTAGCACTATTGAAACCCTAGAACCCTCAGATTCAACTCTGGACCTCGAAGCCAGTTCCACTGTGTTTTTTCATTGTTCCCCTTTAATCAGGGATTGATTTAGATCTGGGACACCAGGTGGGTGCAATTAATTATCAGGTAGAACAGAAAATCAGCAGGCTGTGGACCTCGTAGGGTAAGAGTTGAATACCCCATGCCCTAGAGGGTTCTCTAGTCTAGTCTAGTCAACATTTCACAAGCACACCAGGGTCTGACCTGCAGTAATATGTGTTTACCCCAGTCTTCACGTCACACTAATTGAACTATTCAGTACGATGAGGGAAAAAAAACTATTTAATCATTTTTAGAATAAGGCTGTAACATAACAAAATGTGGAACAAGGGAAGTGGTCTAAATACTTTCCGAATGCACTGTATACAATATCAACCTTGGGACATATTTCATATTTGGTTATATACATGGGATGATCAGGGAGAGAGAGGGAGATACTCGTGTGAGAAATAGTTATCTGAGATTAATATCTGGTGTCCCTGGTGCAATAGAGAATTGAAACAGAAAAACACTTTCGTTAGCAGTCCGTGTGTACTCTAAATAGAGTACACACGGATGAAGAAATTACATATGTGTTACAGGAGGGGGTCGCAGTTCCGGAGCGACCCACTAGGTGTCATCCTCTGACAACCTTAGGCACCTCCTCACTCACAGTCTGGACTAATTATTATCCTATTGGTGTCACCTGTGTCTACCTGTGTATTTATGCAGTAGTAATCAGTGTCTGATCGCGAGATGTACAGTTGAAGTCAGAAGTTTACATACACCTTAGCCAAATACATTTAAACTCAGTTTTTCACAATTCCTGACATTTAATCCTAGTAAAAATTCCCTGTCTTAGGTAAATTAGGATCACCACTTTATTTTAAGAATGTGAATTGTCAGAATAATAGTAGAGAGAATGATATATTTCAGCTTTTATTTCTTTCATCACATTCCCAGTGGATCAGAAGTTTACACACAATTAGTATTTGGTAGCATTGCCTTTAAATTGTTTAACTTGGGTCAAACGTTTCGGGAAGCCTTCCACAAGCTTCCCACAAGCTTCACACAATAAGTTGGGTGAATTTTGGCGCATTCCTCCTGACAGAGCTGATGTAACTGAGTCAGGTTTGTAGGCCTCCTTGCTCGCACACGCTTTTTCAGTTCTGCCCACAAATTGTCTATAGGATTGAGGTCAGGGCTTTGTGATGGCCACTCCAATACCTTGACTTTGTTGTCCTTAAGCCATTTTGCCACAACTTTGGAAGCATGCTTGGGGTCATTGTCCATTTAGAAGACCCATTTGCGACCAAGCTTTAACTTCCTGACTGATGTCTTGAGATGTTGCTTCAATATATCCACATAATTTTCCTTCCTCATGATGCCATCTATTTTGTGAAGTGCACCAGTCCCCCCTGCAGCAAAGCACCCCCACAGCATGATGATGCCACCCCCGTGCTTCATGTTGGGATGGTGTTCTTCGGCTTGCAAGCACCCCTTTTTCCTCCAAACATAACAATGGTCATTATTTCTCCAAAAAGTACGATCTTTGCCCCTACGTGCAGTTGCAAACCATAGTCTGGCTTTTTTATGGCGGTTTTGGGGCAGTGGCTTCTTCCTTGCTGAGCGGCCTTTCAGGTTATGTCGATATAGGACTCGTTTTACTGTGGATATAGATACTTATGTACCTGTTTCCCTAGCATCTTCACAAGGTACTTTGCTGTTGTTCTGGGATTGATTTACACTTTTCGCACCAAAGTACGTTTATTTCTAGGAGACAGAACGCGGCTCCTTCCTGAGCGGTATGACGGCTATGTGGTCCCATGGTGTTTATACTTGCGTACTATTGTTTGTACAGATGAACGTGTTTGGAAATTGCTCCCAAGGATGAACCAGACTTGCGGAGGTCTACCATTTTTTTCAGAGGTCTTGGCTGATTTCTTTTGATTTTCCCATGATGTCAAGCAAAGAGGCACTGAGTTTAAAGGTAGGCCTTGAAATACATCCACAGGTACACCTCCAATTGACTCAAA